TGGCAATCATTGATCTTGCTGTCGCGTTAACGCATTATCGGAATCAGATTAAATTAGTAATCCGATCAAAAGCAAAAGTGTCACGGTCTTAAGATCAACGAAATGTTCGTTCGAGAAAGGAGGATAGCGCGAGGATGGCGGAGCCAAGTCTATCTATCCGTTTCTCAGGCTCTCGTTCCTCAGGCTCGTCGCGGCGCTGCGCCGCGCTACGCGGCATGGCGCGTCGCCGGTCTCCGTCAAGCCCAATCATGTTGATTCAACAAAGTACCTACCTACCAAATTGCTGGAATTTGGTATTCGGCCAGAAAGATGGAGGGAGAAGGAACCATCGGAGCAAGCTAGAGGATTGGAAGCCGTCTGATTGCACATCTAGGACAAACCAGCATCACGACGATGTCGCTCCAGCGGAAAGCCGAGCGATGATTGGCCGCACACACATTCTCTCTCTCTCTCTCTCTCTCTCTCTTCCCCTTTTCCTCGATCCCTTCAACCCCTCGTCCGTACGCCCGAAACCCGATGGCGTCGGGGGCTGGGGGTGATTGGACGCATCTCGGTGATTGTGGCACCCACCGTCCACCCCTCTGCACCCCCTTCGCTCTCTCTCTCTCTCTCTTTCTCTCTCCCTCCCTCTCTCCTTTCGTTCCGTCCACCGCGCCATCCCTCCTACACGGCTGTAAATCGAGTTTACCCTCTTGCCGTGGCTCAGCCCTTCAATCAAACTGATTGAAACATTCCTTGAATCCAAAAGAAACGAACCGCCATCCCTTCTCTCTCGTCTCTCCAACCTCCCCGCTATCTTTCCGAGTCGCACCGCGCTCGCTATCCTCTCTATCCATCTGTCTATCCGCTCGGCCCGCGCGGATATATCCGTCGTTCTCTTTTCGACGAGGCGGTTGCAGCAGACGCTGCTGCCGCGCGCAGGAGACACCCGATGGTGTTTCGAGACAACCGGTTGGTATCAATTCCGACAGTAGTTTGATTGTAAAGCTGCGCAGGATATAAAGCGCTTAGCGTGATATGATGCACCGAGTGTTCCGTAAGAATGTGCTATTGTTGCCTTAAGCGACAGTCATACGCGATGTCCGATGAACTTTTCATGGTATAATCCCACAATGCATCGATTTGGATTCGTCTGTTAAATGTGCTTTTTAGATATCGGAAAATATAAGAGAGCGAAGAAGAGATATATCTACTGTTCTTTAATTTCTGTTGTATATGTATTTTTAAGAGGATCAGAAAAGGGCTTCAATGACCGAAAATTGGATAATTTTAAATATTGTTTACGGGCGGGCAATTATACAGAAATTTTCTTTTTATGTTTTTAAGGCTTCTTTGATAAATAAAATCAGATGTAAAGGTCCAAAAAATATGAATATTTGAGGGAGATATACGTAATTGAAAGTAACTGCGCCATTTACGCACTGCTGTGGTTTTGCCGCGATTCCGGATGAACGAGTTGGAATTTTTCAATTTTTTTGATGCCATTTTGTTTACGAGATCCCTCTTTATAGTGAATCCTAAAACCTAAAATAGAAAAAACCATCAAGTTAAAAACAATGGCGGTCGAAAATTTGAAAATGTCGAAAAATTCACGTTTTTTGCTGTTAAAATTTACAAAATTATTTTTTCGTGTACAAAAGTAGGTTCAATTTGCAAAAAAATTTATTAATTTTATTTTTTCTAAATGAAGTCGATATCTATAGTCGTTCTTGAGTTATCGTGACAAAATCAACGGAAAATACTATTTCGAGAAAAACGCGATTACAGTTTGAAAAGGAAATTTTTGCTAAAAGATTTATAAGTCTTTCAAACTATACTAATTGCAAAAATTGCACACCGTGTATCAAATTCTGTTAACCATTCCTCTCTTTAGGATCGAGCATATCTTCATAGAGAACAATAGAAATACGCGATACCGACGGGAGTCCCTTGTATTTTCATTATTAAATTTTTCGAATTTCTCAAAAAAACGAATAGGAAAATATTCTTCAAGAATCACACTATCAGAATATGTAAAAAAAAAAAAAAAAAACAGAAAATCCAATTTTTCAAAGTGTGATTTTAAAATTTCGATCCCCTTAAATTCTTCAACTGTTTTATCTTCTCACAATTTATATTTCTTCCTATTTATATTTCTTCGATAATATCCTCTCTTCTTTGAAATTAGTTTTAAGGGGCTAACACTCTCCAACGCGTTTATCGCGTTTCATTTTTCGACGAAAGCAAGCGATGGGCGCCGAGATGGACGATGTTAGACCCGACGATGGGGACGTCTCGTAGTCAAATATTGATACTAGGCCGGACTAAATCGTTCGACTATGCCAACAGATTAGGTACGTACGTGCACCACGGTTGAGTAATAGCAATCGCGCGATAAGGACAGGACCAACGAAATTGAAATATCAACGCTAGCGTACCGATCGACGGCGATCGATAATAAAAACATCTGTTCGTACCTATTAATGTTCTCCCCTTGCCTTTCGCATCTCCGTGTTGCATAATAATATTTTTGCGGCGATATTATGATGAAACGTAGAAACACGAACGGCCGAACGCGCTTAACTGCAGCGTGAAATGCAAGAAATGTCACTCCTCGTGCGGATATAACCGGTTGGTTGAGTAAAAAAAGGACTGACAGTTCCATTACCTCCGGTACGTGCGCGGCCGGGCCAGGTTGTGCCGATCTATTTCGGGGGGACTAACTAAGTTCAGCGTCTGTTTCTCATTAAATTGCGCTCTGACCTCGAATCATCTAAATTTGGAACGGCCACGCCGATTAGGTGCATATTCATCACAGTGCGGTAATTCCGAAGTCTCAATCATTCATCGATAAACGATCAACGTATACGGAGAGATCTATGTATGTGTGTGCGGCAATATCATATGATAGCTGAGATAACTCACTTAGAAATAATTATAAAGACATAAAAAATTTGTTCCATTTTTTTCAAGTGTCTAAAGACGTCTCGTCTATCGAAAGGCAATTAATGTGTTTTTCCTATTGCATTGTTACTATTTGTCTTATCTACGTATCGGTACAACTTTACATTTTATTTCCAATCATCGCTTAGATCTCCATATTTC